AACAAAGTGAGCGCAGTCTCTGGTGACCCTCCTGGTAGCGATATGAATTTATTCGACGATTCCATACGGTCTGTGGATCACATAGTGAAGGTAAACTCAATGTTATTGCCATTTAATTCGATCATAGCTTTCATCAGTCTGAAAAGACCTTTTAGTCTTTAGAGTGATCATAAAACCACACTTTACGTAACTGACTATATATCATTGATCTTTCAATTTACGTCCCTTGTCCATCAGCTGTTGTGTTCATCCGGATTTGTTCCAAAGCAGAAATGAACGAACATGTGTTGCTTCACCGTCAGCAGGACACGCTTGTAGGGAAAAACTACTTTCATCTAGGACAACGATGCTTCATATTTCTGAATTTCTGTCTCGCATTTGCTACTATATTATAGATTGTTCATCTGATCAAGACACGATGTCATTCCACTCAGGTTAATCACTCAGTAGAGAATGTCAAGTATGCCTTGCCACATTTCGTACCTTCAAAATGTTACTCGTCAGTGGCAAATAGAACAATTCCTTGATACTTCGTTAGTCAGCACTGCAATCGTTATTTTGTGAATCCGCAAAAAAAACGAATCCCTAAATGGTACTACCCAATGCCATATTAAAACTTGGGAAAAACGAATATAGGTTTAAGTGAGCGAAGCTATCAAAGTTCCACATGGAATCTGGTTGAACCGTTACGCACAAGATAGCAGTCTATGTTATCTATGGTGATATTACTCTAGCCTAATGAAAGGCGATCAGCTGATTATAACTACTAGAATTATCCACAGTGCCAACTATGTAGACTATCCTCATTGTGTTCAGGGAAAGCACCTGAGACTGCGAATTTTCAAAATTTTTAAGACTCAGGCGTAAGACAGTGTAGGTGATATGTTGATGATATTGTATGGAAATGAATCGCATCAGAAATTTGCTGTTTAAACTAGCGTAAGTACCCTAAAACTTTCTATCAGTGTCTCGTACGTACACTTCTATAATGTTTAGGAATACAACATTTCTTGACAAACCGATTCTAAGGCAATCATTCTTATAAGGCATCATTTGCCCGTGTGGGTAGTGACTAGTAACTAATTAAATGCATTTAGGCACGCACTACTGAATTTATTTGTGAACAATGTAAAATCATTTTCTTTCGGAAGGATGCTGCAATCTGCAGCAGTACAAAGTTAGTTGTAAAATTATTCTAATGCCTAACTACTGTTCTGCATTAAGATTCCAAATAACGGTAGAACAGTCGGCGTTGCCTGCAGCTGAAGAAATGCGACGATGTGAAGCATACTTTGCCTTGAATGGATCTGAAAGGAGTATGTTAATGACATCCGGCTTTAGTGTTAGGCATAAAGACATCAACGCGTGGTTATTCATTGATCTGAAGCAGTAATTAGTAAGAAATGTATGACTGAAAAGCTTTCATGCATCAAAAGCGATCGTTAGAAGAATCAGTTGCTAGCAATATATCTTAGCGACGCTGCCTATTACTCTGTCGGCTGTAGTCATTGTAGCGGTCTTGCGTGAGTGAATGCCAATGACTAGTTTCGCGTTGGCTAGTGCAAGCGGCCCAAGAGAGAGCTGTTTACGCTATTGCGCTTGAAAACTAATTAACTGAAGCAGTCCCTGCGTGATTGCTGCAAAACAGTTCTTAATTATTGACGTTTCTTAAAACGTGTATTAAACCTTTGCCCAGAATACAAGTACTAATAGGTGTAGCGACTTTTACTAGAATTTACCGTAAACATAATGTTGTGGGATATCGTAAACAGATCTGAACATATCGATGAATAATTAAACATTTTGTAAAACTGATGAAACTTTATCTTCAAATAATAATAGACTTTTAACTGCTGCATGAAACAGCGACGCTTACTGCGGAGGGAAGCTGCAGACAAAGCTGAACTGCAGCGTAACAGCCATCAGTGATGCATAGCATGCGTGTGCCTATATATTGGTCGATGTATCAAACGTACAGCTCAGTGATTCCAGAGAAAATGAAATAATACTACGTAAGGAACCAACTCATTGCCTTCGATATGTTTTATCCATAGATTGTGCTTTCAAAAGGTTTGCGGTTGACATTAGATAATTGCAGGAAACGAATTCGTGGATTCGAATTAACTTGTTTTTTAAGGAATGCGACACTACAAGAAAGAACATGGAACAGCTAATACATAAAATCGACGACTTGTACGAGGTAGCTATCTAACGGAATAAAATTAAATAAATGCACGAACTTTTTAGGAAGTGAAGCACTATAGAGAGTTTCTCATGTATGAGAAACATCGCCGAGACCCGAACCTGTCGCAAAACAAATCCGTAAACGCCACTGAAGGCATTTCTGTTACCATGAAGCACTTAACGGCGCAGTTGGTAGAGGTAATTAATATGATCATTTCTGTTTTAATCAGTATCGAGTTAGTGAAGAGGAGACTGACTGAAATTCCACTTTTGTTCTTATGATTAAATTCTGCAAACAACGGCTACAATGTCTGAGCACTATGTTTAGTCAGAATTTGTCTCACAGCTTAAGGTTCTTCAAGCCACCCACATAAAACAAAACCCACTGGTATATGCTAATAGCAGTACTTATCAGCTATATACGACTTAATGTCATTAAAGAACGAAGGCAGTTGGACAGTTTCATGAAGCGCACTAAAATGTGACAAGTCTTGCATGAACCAGCCATGAAATTACCAAATACATGCAAAAATATATCCGAACCTCTCCTATATCTTATAGAAAGCAAGAAACCTGATGACAATAGGATGTTTGCAGCCTTTCATTTACTGCTTTGCGTAAACTTCTCGTTTACTGACGTCATGTCCACCACGAAAGCCATTTTGAGAAAATAGACGAGTTGAAATTTGTAATTTCCTCATCACTAAGTCCGAAGCCTGCTTATCTCTTTGAATCGAGGAAGCAGCGGCATCAGGCAATGTCTGCAACGTTCGTGATTCTGCACCACTGTTTCAGCTGTGGCAGAAGATAACTTGACTCCTGAGCAGAATTCTTCCAGCATCTGAGTCCAAGTCACGGTTGGCCTTCCCCGGCGTCTTCGACCGATCAGCGAGCAAGTAACAGTAGTTTCACTTTCCTCTCTGGATGCATCCGCAAAATGTGTTCAAACCTGTACTTCTTCACCGCGAGAAACAGCGGCTGTACACCAACACTTTCAGGGATATACTAACTTTGGACCTGGTCGAGATGAATGAGAGCAGTGATTATTCGCAAAAGGCCATTTTAGCAGCTTGTGCAGGCGATGGAATTTTTTCAGTCATGGCTCATTACTTATGACCATAGGTGAGCATGAGGTTGAAAACTGACTTGCATGCTGAGGTTCGTATTCAGACTCAGCTCAGGCTTAGTCACAACGGGTCGGGCTAGTTCAAGCAGAATGCCGCTGGCAATTCTTACCCGTCGGTCGATTACTTCTACTTTACACTGCCGATAAACATGACCCAGAGACATTTGAGCTCCGCCATCTGTTGCAATCTTTCTCCGTTTATCTGCGGAGTATAGTGAGCACTGGAAAGAGAAAACACTGGACCTCTGGTTAAAGAGAAAAAGTTTTACGAGTGTCGGCTATCAGATTTGGCTGCGAACCATTCCAGAGAACGGTGAAGGTCAGTGCCATTGCTTCCATCTCTGAAGCGGCGTATGATCTTTCAGAATACTGTGTGCCCTCTGGAAATTCGACTACAACATTTCAGCAAAGGTTTTCCATGGATCCGCTTCCGCTTTAGTCACTGTTTTGGTTATTACTTTAACCCCTTGTTCAAACGGTATTCTAGTTGAAGGTCCATTGCGTCTAAACCGCATCACTCATGTAGCTTTCTTTTTGCTGAGAACCAGAAGAGCATTTAGCGTCCACTGGAAGTTACTTTCCTATCCTGCGAAGCAGTTTAAATCTTCAGCATTCTGCAGTATTTCACACAAGACCACTATTATAAGACCACATGATTTTCTTTGCCAGCTTTGTATCCGTAAAAGGTAATGGTTTGTATTATTCTGATTGCTTATCGCTCCAGGTCTTCGGATGCTCCAAGTTTACGGCGTAGCGTGTCAAAAAGATCAGTTGACGGCTCTGCACCTCTCTTAACTCGAATATCCATCACATTGTCGTCAGACGATACGATTATCAAACCGATCATCGACCTGTGCACAAACTTCCCTTTACTAGGTATACTGACGCACGTTTGGATACTCTAAGGTGTTCATAATAGGTAGTCTGTTTTTGCTCAGGATTGCAACAAGTTCAGTTAGAAAATTGCTACTGTTCCCGTTCAGGCTTTTATTCAGTGACTTTGTCCGCCAGGATGCGCACTACAGAACACCAACATCGCCTAAGGGCAGATCGTAAAGACCCATGCACTGTGTACGCTTAAATACGATGGAGCCATGACCTGCTTAAATGGCCCCCTAGGCATCTAGAAATAAGGGAGGCGGTGAAATAGTGCTGTTGGTGTAAACTGAAAAATATATTTTTTATTTTTTACACTGCATTTTCGCCGTTTCAATCCGAAATCATTACTATTCTCAATAGAAATTACTTACTTAGCATGCACATGAACTCGCAAAATGCACTGAAATTAAAATCAAATTTAAAGAGGCTCTTTCTAGGAATGGGAAGTACGTCTTCACGCTCTTCGGAGCAGAACGGTACAGCAGTGAAAAGTGCAACAAACTCTTCAGTGAAATCGTTTTCGCGCATCTTGTTTGGGTAACTCAGTTTAAAATAAAAAAAACGCAGAAAATTTTGTTTAAAGATTTGAAAGCAATGTTCAGTGCAGATGCATGAACTTATATAATATATATCTTCAAAAGCATAAAAATTAAAAACGAAAGAAAATTGACATGCTTGGCCAGTGTTTCTTCGTAATCTCCGATTAACGTTAGCAGGATGATCTTGGCATGAGCTTAGCGAAGGGGACAAAACTATTCTATGCCTGATTTGAGCAGACCATTCTTGAATATGAACATTTTTTAAAGTGCTCATAATACTTAATACAGTATAGGTGTCTTCATAGGCAAGAAACTTCCACCTTTTAAGAGAAAGAGAAGAGGCGCCGGTTTGAAACTAGATTTTACAAATAGTTTATTGAAACAAATACGTCTATTTATAGTTAATAATTTGGCTAACTAACTTATAACTAAATGCTGGGTCCAGTATCACTGACTAGTTTGCACTAACTCATAACTCCAGCTGGTATAACGATATGCCAGACTCGGTAGTTACCCTCTGTTTGAAGGACAAGTAATACTTGAACCGGGTTCAATGCATTCAAAAGAATGTTCTCCACGCAGATGGAAAAGTTCAGTGTTGGCGCGTGGCATTAACAAAGCGTCGTAAACGGAATGTAAAGAATGCGCTTAAAACGAGTAGACCATAGTGCTACAATAGCAAAAATGTTTCGTTTTTTGAAGAGTGATGTGAGCAATAATGCGATGATATGAGCATGCACGTCAGTCAATGCGCCGTTTCTCACCTATGATAATGATGAAATAAAACGCAATAGCGAATACAAGTGTCAATGATTTGATTCATTCGAAAGTTTGCTGGTACGAAGAATCAAAAAGCTTCTGGTACTTTCTTGAAGTACAATCCTACATTTAAGAGCTAACGAATCATCTCTCCAAATCGAAAGATTACGCTAACGACCATTTGCACATGATGTTAGGGTAGTTGGTGACAAGGCAAGGATAAAAATATATAGGGTAAGATGAGTAAACAATATGGAACATAAAATTAGGACCTTTCTTGGCAATTACTCAAGAATTTATTACCCTGTCAATGTAACAACTAAAGACAAACAACTACTGTGGCTACAGTCTGAAAGTAACAGTGAGCAACACTGGCATCTAACTTTGCATTAGGGTCGATCACTAATAAATAAAAAATTAAAATTATGGTGACATGCTTCATAAAGTAAAGACAATTTATTGGAATAAGGGGTGGACCGCTAGTCCAAACGATAAGCTGTTGCAGTGACATGCAGCAATACCGATAAAGAAATTAGCTGTAAAAACGTTTCGAAAAAATTTTATGCTACGTAATGGCAGCAGCGAAAAATTCTTTATCCGTTATGCAAACAACTAAAACTTTATACAAACTGAGAGGACCGCAAACAGCATAAAAAAAA